CGCGCAGCTCATGAAGAAATATGAATTCTTCAGATCCAACCCGCTCGGGGCGGTGGTCAACGGCGATGGATCGGTGAGGCCCATAAACGACCTATCCTTTCCCCACAACGACCCGCTTCTGCCCTCGGTCAACTCATTTGTAGACAAGTTAGACTACGCGACGACTTGGGATGACTTCGAGAGAGTCTCCAAATTCCTGAGAAACCAGACACAACCCATACTCCTAGCATTATTCGACTGGGAAAAGGCCTACAGGCAAATTCCCACCGCGGAAGCACAATGGGCCTACCTTATGGTCAGGGACTTTAATGGCGGCATCCTCATCGACACAAGGATCGCGTTTGGAGGGGTAGCGGGCTGCGGCTCCTTTGGCAGGCCAGCAGATGCCTGGAAGGAACTGATGCTACACGAATTCGACTTATTGACCGTCTTCCGATGGGTCGACGACAATTTATTCATAAAACACCGCGACTCGAAGGTAGAGATGGAACAGATAGTAGCACGTTCTGAAACGCTGGGGGTAAAAACTAATTCAACTAAATACTCCCCCTTCTCGGAGGAACAGAAATACATCGGGTTCATCTGGAACACGTCAAGGAAGACAGTCAGGTTACCAGACGACAAGAAGTTCCAACGCGTACAACAACTCAAGGAATTCCTGATACCCGACGCCGAGTTCTCCTACAAGCACGTGGAGGTGATGGTGGGCCGACTCACCCACGTATCGTACATTCTTCCCCAGCTCCGATGCTATCTTAATAGCTTGTACCGCTGGATGAATGCCTGGGTTTATCGGAGCAAAAACCTTCCCGTCCCAGCGGACGCTAGGCAAGACCTGGAAGAATGGCTGACCACCCTACTATGCTTCAGAGAAACGAGGATAATCAGGAACCCTGATCCGACCGAAATCGGGTGGATGGGGGACGCATCGCGAGAGGGTTGGCCCATGTGAGAACAGCATGTTTCTTAGTTTTTCTGTGGAGAGTCGGTGATTGTGATGGAGACCATCGGCCTGAAGGGGTCCCGTTTTGAGAGGCGGCAGGGGACGGGGTTTGTCGGTGCCATCCGGTCGGGCGCACCCGGGCTGGACGGGGGAGGGGCTTGAAGAGCAAGCCAATCCGGTCGAAGCAGTCAAAAAGTCAGTCAATGCCAAATGGTGATCAACTTATCGGCCATCGACCATGACCAACCAACAGTCATCCTCACCACTCAGCTCGATACCAGAATATAACAAGAAGACAACGACCAACAAACAGCAACCAGCTCGGAAACGATCGAAAGCCAACGAGGAGAAACCAAACAGCAACAAACGACCGAGGAGACAGTCAGCCACTCTCAAGAAGACCTACGAGGAGAACCCACTCTTCCACACTCAGCCTCAGACCCCCAGCTCACCAGCATACGAACCCACTCAGACCAACAACAAACCAGATCCGAATCCATCCCCGGATCCAAAGAGCAAACACAACACTCCGAAAACCATCAACTGCAACCCTCAACAAACAGATCAATCTCGTCCACCCGCAAACCATATCCATCATCGTCTGTGGATTGAATCACAAGGCTCACGCAGCTTCCCAGCTCACCTACGCTCCTACGGACCCCTATGGGAACCACCAGCACTGATCCATCTAGTCCATAATCAACTGCTACACCAATGGGAGACCAAGAGCGAACCGATCGAAGCAAGCCCAGTACTCCGCAAACGCATGCAAGCAGCAGAAGCCAATCTACCCTACGCTCCAGCCATGCAGCTGCTGTCCGACTTGGGGTGGTACAAGACCAAATGGAATGCTGACGAGCGTCGTGTGAATGATCGATGGGGAGGATGGTATGATCAGACCAGACTAGATCTCAACCTGTTTCTACAATCTCGATTGGACGACCAACAGATTCTAGAATACCTGCCGACCGGTGTCCAATTTCCAGCCCCACTTGAACAGGATCAACCTTCTACAACCCAGAAGAAGCCCGCCCGGGTAATTTGTAATACACTCACCAATCAATGGGCCGTCGAGGAGAATAACGAGGGCTCGCTGAGTCTTTACGCTGGTCCGCTAAGTGTCAGTAGATCGGCCGATGGAACGGAAACGATCGAGCAGGAAAGGATTACCTTCCAACGCTTTGCTAGTTGTCGCTTGAGTGGGGTGACTTTACACAACTTCCGTCTCCTCCTCGATCCACGGCGCTCAGTTTGCTAATAATCATCACCGCACCTCCTGTGTTTTTCGCTCTGCTCAATCGAATAATAGACACATTGATACCTGAGAAGGCGGGCTTTGTGCTGAACGCTAGCGCGCCAGTATGGTCGATCGACTTCCTACCAGCCCCAGAGTTTACCACACATTCCTCTCTTGGTGAAGGAGACCGGGATCGCGCGGCGTGTGACTTCATCGCGGTGGCTACGATAAGCTCCGATCCGGGTTTGGTCCCGCCATCAGAGATTGCCAAACTGGAGAAAGATGCCAAGAGCGTCGTTCAGATCTGGAGCATCCCTCATGCCGAGCCAACCAATTTTCACGAGCAGCCCCCAGCATCACCCGTCACTCGTCCTGCTAGTCGGGGTACCCGCGTGCATCGCAACAGCCAGCCCAAAGTCCCGCTAAACCACGATGATTGCCCTCAGTTGGTCATGTTGTTGGCCTTTTCAACTCAAGCAACAGTGGTCCGTTGGTGTCCTCGAGGCGGGACAAAAAACTTGAACAAGGTCAGTGTCGCGATGCGATAGCTCGGCACCAGTCTCATTTGGAAGCGTTACTCACCTCGCCCCTTCCAGAACAGACGGATTCAACGCTTGCTAGCCCTTCTACTGACCAAGTCGACCCCCTCGGACTCTTGGCGATCTCCTTCGTGGACGGAAGTGTCGGGCTGTATAGTGTGCCTCATCCCTTTCATGCCACAAAACTAGCCCAATCACCCGATGCTTCTCGATCCCAGTCCAACAATTCAAACTATGCCATAACCCGTTAGTGAACTACATGACCCATTTGTTAATCGACACCAGTTTTCCTTATGGCTCATTTGCGTCTCTCCTGCTAGTCGATCTCGCTCCGGTAGCCAAGTTAATGCTACCGAGTACCACCTGTCTCACGCTAGACTGGGCCAATCACGATGTACTTGCTGGAGGCTGCACAAATGGTGATAGCTTGTTCCGCTTTACTCACCCTCAACATAATCTTCCCGGCGGTCAACTGCTTACGCTTAATTTGTTTGGTTTTTGGGACATATAAGGCAGCATCGTCATTTGGCACGTCGAGACCCTGCTACAACTGTTACCGTCAAGCTCAGCATTGGAGGGCCCTCTTTATATCCGGCCGAGCCATTACAAGCCCGTCCATTCAGCCCCGGTCAAATCAATCTCTTGGATCCGTACCCCGCCCGTCGGCCGCTCCGGCAAGTTTGACCTCGAAGGAGATCCCGCCTTTTTGACATCAACTGGGTACGATGGCAGTGTTAAGATGGTCGATGTTCAGGATCTGGCAGCATCGAAATCTTTGATTCATGAACGAGGTCAATACCATATCATTCTTTAAAGATTTTCTCTCATTTGCGAAGAGCTGATATACATTTCCACTCTCTTCTCTTTATCTTCGATTTGCGGTTGATTAGGTGAAACGACCTCGTTGGCGTTCTCACCTGTCTTAGGCTGTCTCAACCTCGCAGATTCAGATTACAGTGTCAAGTCCATTTGTCTCAAACCACGCGAGTTAGGTGTCTCTAAAAAGATCTTGGTTCAGTTGGGATTGGTTTGGGTAAACAAACTTCCTTTTTTCCCTCTTCCTCTCTCTGACATTGTACTCTATAGATATTCTGTGCAGCTTGAATTGATCAACTGACTGGCTTTGTTGAATCAAATCTTGTAGCAACTAGCCGCCTCTGACTTTCATTCATTTATCGCCTACGCTGCTGCCGATGGAGTCTGTGGACTCGCCTCATTAATCAGGCCACAGAAGTATCGTAGTCGAGCGGTTTGTTGTCTCTGTATTTTCACATGGGAATCTTACAATTCTTGCTTTTGACCAATTGATTGATTGGTAACTGCGCTTTTTCGTAGACTATGTGGGCTCCTAAGGTTTATCAAATGGACTTCAGTCGTAAAACCTCTGAACTGAGAATGCTTGATAACTTAGTGCCTGAGGTGAGTAACCTAATGAGACATTCCAACAAAAACTTTCTTTGTTCTGAATTAATAAAGATCGTGTTTTATGACCGGGGGGGATTGGGATGATAAAAGCCGCGGTCACAAGATGGAACATCTGTTGCTGAGACGAAGACGAAAGCTAGAGCAGGGAACAAGAAAGGAGGTCAGGAGCAGGGGACGAAGACGGAGAAGAAGAAAGCTGACCAGCCAGCCCAGTCGGCGAGCTCGATCGGGGCGTATGCATCAGTGGTCGGCGTGCATTGTCTGAGCTGGAACAAATCGATCACCAGAGGGAGCGTGCTAGCTAGTGGGATGGGGTGCGGCTTGGTCCGCGTCGACCTCATCGAGGGTGGCTTGAATAGTGCCAATAACTCTAGTAAACTTACTTTGACCTTTGATGAACTCATCACCAATGCTCTGGATAGCAATAACCAAGCTGCTGGTGTGGAGGATGACGATGATGATTAGATATGTATCTACTTAGACACATAGTGGTTCATTGTTTCTGATATCCTTGACTATAGTACATACTTGAAGAACTGCAAACTGAAGCATCCACTATGAGGTTGTGACAGCACACTCTACTAGTAGCACTTGTAGCTGATACCATGCTTGTTTCCCAAAAAATAATAAAATGGTCATTGTTGGAGTCTATACACACATATAACACATGTGGGGCTCACCCCTTACAATCCACATGATGTTTCTGGATCCCTCCAGGTTAAGATTTATTCTCGAGAGTTATCACCAAAAAAAGTGATTCAAGATGGATTCAAATCTGATTGATGAATTGCTGAAAAAGCAATTCTTTACATTATTGGTGAGTGATCAAAGAGTCACACTTCATCAGCATGTCTCACAATTTTCTAATATGTATAACACAGGAGTAAGAAAATTTGGTCAATAGAGCCTAGAGCCTACTGTCACTGGTTCAATTCAAACTGTATTTCAAGTAATCTATCATGAGTAATGATGCCATGAGGATGAAATCTTTGGGTGAAAGAATAGTACTACAAATTGTTTTCATCCAAGGGCAGAGCTATTTCATGAGAAGGATAGAGGAAATTGGATTGAGTGTGCATGATATTTCCCATCCTCTTTCATCTTATCTTGAAATTTAATTTTCTGTAACTGAATTTCCTCCACCTGCAAAGACTGATCAAACCTTTCCACATATATAATGACTAACAACTTCAAGTACTTCTTCTGTGGAGTTTCTAAGAATCTTTCCAACTCTTCTTGATTCTTCTCCTTCAACCAGTTGACCAAGTGCTCATTGTTTTTGTGCAACTGTTGGAGTTCTTCAGATACATGTACCAGACTCTGTTGATAATAGCTTTCTATGGGTTCCAAGTTTGATAATGAATGATTCAAGAGAAGGGCTGGAAGTTGTTGAATCTCTTTTTTATATATAATCTGCTTGGATTGTAATTTGCACTCCCTTCAAATTTCCTGAAGAAGCTCTTCAGGCTTCAGCCCATGGCTGACATAATCATAATCTAGAAAATCAAAATTGTGCATTGTATAGTACAATCCAGTAATTGTCTTTCACTTGATCACTTTTGAATGCCTCTTCAATAATTCCCTGGTGAAGATTGGTTTCAATAAGAAACAAAAATTCACAGATTGTGACCCAAGCTTACTGATGATGAGCACATGATAGGATATAATGTAATCTAATTGTTTCCTGAATAGACCTCTTATTTTGCATGATAAGATTTGATATCTGAAATATAATGAGAAAAAGGTGACAAGTGGATTCAAGTGCAAGAGTTTGATAGACCTAAAAAGAAGAACAAGAGTGAATGGCGATGTGTGGATAATGATCAAGTGGTAATATATCTTGAATATGAGTATATTCATGGAAAGAAAGGAATGAGAGCAGAGCATCAGAGGATGTTGGTTGTGTTGCCATGATATCATGCAAAAAATAAAAGAAAGGGGATCTTGGGTTTAGAGAAAAGAGTGTAGATACTACTGAAAGAAAGGATCTTGAAAACTCAAATCACATGTTTTTGCTTTTTTTATACCTGATTTAAATTTGGTGAGATTAATGTAGAACCAGAAACTGACCTTTTTCTTTCTGTTGATTATATAAAAGGGAGGGATTCTGAGTGAGAAGCAGATCCCTTAACTTTGCCAGTGATATTCAAAGTCTTAGTCACCTTAAGCTTCTTCTTTGAATATAAGGATTGGGGCGAAAGATAAGCAAAGGGAGAGACTTCTTGTCCGTCTTTATTTCTTGTCACTTTATCTCTTCCTCCTGCTTTCTATCAACCAAAGAGAAAAAAAAATATGATGATGATGAGTATTTACAATGATACAATAAAAAAAAGGAGAGAAAAATGATGCCTTTGCGACAAACTTTAGTTTTGAATTCGGATCACAATCTCTCTTTGACTCGTTTGGTCTTTTTCTTTTTATGAGTTGAGCCAGTTTTTTGATCATCGGTGATCTGTAAGCCATGGACAGCATCCTGGATATCCAGTTGCTGCTCCTCGTCCTGCTCAAGACGATCGACGACATCTTGATCGAGCTTCCGTTTCTTGTTAGCCTTGACATTTCCTCGCGCGTCTCTTCTGAATCCGTCGGCCCCATGAACAGCCTCGAGGAACGCGTACGTACTCTCATCATTGCCGTTCTTTGTCGACTAATTTTGGACTCGACTCTTTCTCATCAATGGAT